AAACATCTAAAAACGAAACAAACATTAAAATTAAATTTAAATTAAACATTTCATATTTAAAGAAGATAAAACACCTTTCTGCGTTACAAGTGCGGACATTAACAGCAGAAATAAGAATAGTAACAATTAAATTTTGAAGTGTTTCACTGCCAAATTATAGAACGTTGTTAAGACAAATAACTGGGTTTGCCACGTTCAAAACTTCCTTTCATGTAATCAAGACTAAAATTAAGGAAAGTATCATATAGCTGAGATAATTTTGCTTTTAATTCACTATCATATTCTTTACGAATGTCGTTCTCACGATCTTTAATCATACGCTTACAATATGCGACGACCTGTTGGAAAGTAAAAAGTGGCTGACCATATTTCGATAATGATAAAAGGCCAACTCCAGGACTTACAACACTCACATTGGAAGATTTTGAAAAACTCTCTGTTGTATTAGATCCTGCAGACAGAAAACAAAGTTGCTTTCGTCTTTTTGGATTCTTCATCTCTTCTTTTATGTTTGTAGCTATCTCTCCTGAGGTAATTTTAGGCAAAACATCCCCACATGGCGATGGATGCAGTTTTTGTAATGTCGGTGGACTCACCGGCGATGATATCATAGAGTCATATTTTCTTTTCGCTGATTTCTTCGGCATACTGAAAGGATTATTTCTTTATAAATATCACTCGTAATGATTTTTCAAAATCAACTCGTAATGATTTTTCCGATTGTTTACACAAAACATTAATACACTTAAAAGTCCGAAAAATCACTATGTATAGTATGGCTTAATGCATATTTTGTCTGAACTAGTTTTAAAGGTAAAAATCAAAATTTCCCAAATAATTAACGTACAGCTAAGATATTGTTATATACTAACTGTGATAAAGTTTCTCGTCGACCGATACTTAATTTCAAATATTCAATTGTGATTTTTTGAAAGTTAATTAATTTCTTAATTCGTTAATTATTATAACATAAAATAAAATAATTAATGAATAAAGTAATATAAGACTAACTTTAGAAAGAGGTAAACTAGATACATGTTGAGAATGTAGGAGTGAACCCACATATTTTCAGGAAACCAGAGCATAGGTTCGATTCTAATCTAAATCCTTGTATATTTCTTATTTATCTTTTAAAATTTCAATTCTTATTTAACATGTCTATGTAATGAAGTTTGTCTCCTTAATATAATTTTAATTACGCAGATGTTTAAATTAAGCTCTATGTAGATAGAATTAATGAACCAAATGCATACTTTCTTGATCATGGAATTTCCATTTTGCAAATGGAAAGTTTAGTTCAAAAATTTCCTAATGGAGTAAGTTTGGCGCTAATTTCGCTGCAATTTGAATATTAGATAGGTTGTCAAAGAAATTCAGGCAGTAGAGAGAAGTTAAGAGATAAAGTGGGATGATTTTATTGCAATTTAATATGGCGATTACAGATAACGCGGGTTATAACTCTCCATAGGTTATGATGTCATATATGATAATTTTATGTATGCATGCTTTATTTGACAATTTTAAAATGCATGCTCTAGAACAGGGAGATGGAGGACACATACAATAGAACATGTTAGTCTGATTTATTTTCCTATTTTAGACTCAAACTTTTCCATGTGTACAGTTTCACAAGTGTTAAATTACCATATGTGAAATGTAATTATCCATATACCTATGGAGAATTGCATTTCACGAAACTCTATCTGTAATCAACGTATCAATTACAATAAAATCATTGCAAATTGTGACTTAACTTCTCTGTATTATCTGAATTTCTTTGACTGCATATGTAAATTGCAGCCACATTAGCGCAAAATTTTCCCTATTAGGAAATTTCGAACTAAACTTTTTATTTGAGAAATCGAAGTCCTGTAGTTAGGAAGATCGTTTAGCCTTAATATCGTTATTATTGTTTTGTAGTAGAGCTATAACAAACGAGCAAGTATTTATTGTGACGATGTCACAATGCCGGCCTGAAATTTTTACTCATATTTTTTATTTCTTTAATTTAAAATATATGCATACTTTTTCCGTTAGCAACAAAGTCCTGCCGGTCATTATGTAATCCTTTCAAGATAAAATTTTGTAATGGAAATAACGCGACTTTCAATTTGCATCAGAAGTTCATTTATATCAATAGTTAATCGGAGCCTCCTGCCAATGTTGCCACGTCTACCGAATTTTCGGTAGATCTACCGATTTTGGGACCGATCTACCGATTGAAGCACCAAATCTACCGAAAAGTTTACTATAATTCAAGAAAGAAATTTTTATTTCCAATGTATCTAAATATTCTCAATAAAACATTTTTTTGTACCTTTATTTCTTATATATTGTAAGAGACTTTATTGCAAAGACTCTATCTCGTTTTGTTGAGAATATCTTGTATCTGCCTCATTCTTCAGCTAATGTAGAAAGAATATTTTCGTAAATAAATATGTTAAACACGAAACAAAGAAATAAACTTGAGCTCTGAAACAATCACTGGCTTACTTCTTACAAAACAATTAATTGGAAAAAATTACTGTTATCATTTTCCTGTAAAAGATAATTTAATTTCAAAAATGACAAACAGACTGTTAAAAAGATATTGAATAATAATTATTATTATTAATATTCGAAAAATAAAAGGTAATATTTTGTTAGAAAAATAAGACAAAATGTACCTACTTAATTAGTAAATTATTATTTTTTTACGTAAGCGTTCTGTATTAGTTTTTTGTTTTTTATTGTTTTATAGTTTATAATAAAATAAATGACGAAAAAGAATGTTATTGTTTATGTGCAACCTCCTTTCTGCCACAAAAAGTTGATTTACCGAAAACTACAGAAATCTACCGAAAATTGCCTAAGGAATCTACCGATAGCAAGCAAATCGGCGTGGCAATACTGCCTCCTGTCCCTATGCTTTCTATATTAGGTCGTAATTTTCATTCATGTAACTCTGTTCTCGAGATTAAGGAAGGACAGACGGACGGACGACTATGGAAATTTATAGGTCTACAATTTTTTAAATTGCATCCAAATGAAGAATAAAGGGGACCATTTACATCTGGACAGTTTTGTTTACAATTATTCATTGTGAATCGAAGATTTAAGGAACGAGTTTGATTATATACTGCCACACACTGTTTATTGCCCAATTTTTGAAGTTACCATTTTGTCATTATTGAAAATGGGTTTGAAAAACAAAGTTTAATTTTTGAAAATCGGCAAAGCATCCAAACTTAGAACCGGATGACACATGACAGGACAGCGGAGTTCTTACATTCAGGCAAAAGATTCAGCAAGCGTGAATAGCAAAGTTGGTTCTATTTGGTCCATTAGTTCATTCCGAGAGCTCCAAACACCTCCTAGTTTAATACTTAATAGTTTATTACTTAATAGAATATATAAGTAATTTTAATTACTTGCATAAATATATAAAATTCCAAAAAAAGTTCCATCAGAAGAAAATGGCGGCCAGCCAGAAATTTGAAAAATACAACGTTTATTAGGCCTAACTTGTTGCTTCCAAATTTTATCATCTTTTTAAATTTTACTAATCAATAATGCTTTATATAGCATTAAACCAAAATAAATTATATTATTAATCGATTTATAAGACATTTTCTTTAAAATACATACTTTTACTGGATTCTTCAAAATATTCACATGATTACAACGGATTAACGGATCTTCAGCGTTTCTTACTCTCGAATCTTCCTTAAATGCAGTATATTTTTTTGAATTTTAAATTATAGATTCGAGTAAATATTATTTTTTTAAATTTATTTTAAATTATTATTATTATTTATTTATTATTTTAAATTATAGGTAATACTTTGAACGAGTATCGTTCGTTGATCGAAGTATCGTTGAGAAAATTTATAAAAAGACAAAACTGACTAATAGATAAAATTATTAATAAACATGTTTCAATTTATATTAACAAGTAATAATAAATAAATTGTCTTTATATTAAAGCCAGCAGATGATCCCGGCGTTGCCTGGGCAAAAAACAACAAAGATTAAGATTGTTAGATTATTTTGTACTCCTCATCAACGTTGCCACAATGAAATTTCAAAACGTACTGAAGCTCCTTCAGAAAGTGTACTACAGTATTTCTATAGTTGGTTGCTTTTGATATTTATATACCAGACATGGGCAGATGCGGCTCTTTTTGAGTTACATGCAGCTCTTGCTGAAAGTGTTCATTTCTGCTCTTTATTATTATTTTTACAATTTTATTTCCACAATTTTGTGAAAATATGTTTATTAAAAAAATTCAATATCTGTTTTATATCATATTTATATTATATAATAAAATTGCGGTACAGAATAAAAAAAAGTACAGAACTGCGGCTCTCATACATTTTGCAAAACCTACATTTCGGCTCCCACTGAACTCTTGCTTGCCCACCCCTGTTATATTCCATCATGAGTGCTTTTTTAACGTTATTTTAATGATCGAAATTCTTTAAATCTTCGTGAGATCGAAATCAAATGCTTTCTTATTGAAATGTAAATACAATCAAGGTGACTCGAAAAGGCTAATATTTAAATATAAAATAAAATATTTAAAATTAAATATTTCATTAAAAAATTTTATGAAAATAGTTTTTATGGTTTTTTGTTAAATACAGCATTAAAAATTGATTTTTTAAAAATATAATAGTGATGGGATAAAAGAAATTATAAATTAAGGTTAATCTTACCTACGTGCACCGTGATGGCTGCACTTCCGGAATCTCGATAGCATTTGCGATTAGAAATGCAAATTTAAAATTAATTGTTTTATTGTGGCATTAATATTAATTTATACCAATGGATAATAACCAGCAAATATAATGAACACCATGAAGAATTAGCAACAGAATACCTATACGATTTATCTCCATGAAATAGTTCCACCAACCAATGTAAACTTCTAACCAGTTATCTGGAAAAGCTCATTCACAGAACAAGATCAACAATAAGCAATCTAAACAAAAAAAAATAACAATAAAGGAAAACAAATAACAACTAAGGATTTTATTGTAGGATGTAACAATATTTGTCACCTGAAATTGCATCGTTTGTAGAAGGTAAAGTAAAATATCAGAAGTATGTGAATAGTTCTATTGAAACAACAATAAAGCACCATATAATATTAAAAATGCATGAAATAATCATGCAATACATTTGAGGTGTGCATTCAGGGATTGAGAACATTCCTCGCCTATTAATTATAAGTAGATTTATCGAATTTTATACAGTAGAGCATCGATTATCCGACCCCGATTAACCGTCACCTCGGTTAACCGACCGCGTTCTAGTCGGCAAATTCAAATGTCCGCTAGTGATGTGGCGCTACGATATTTGGCTATGTCTTTGCTACTTTAATATTATTTTTGTTAAATTTTTGCGTGTTTTAGATGGCAACACTGACTCGACCATTGAAGGAGGCCAGTATTTAATTAAAGGAGACTTAATTTTCTAATTATGAGTGGTTGTTTGTTTTGTGAGCAATAAAATAATTTAAAAATAATTTTTAACGATACAATAGCGACGATTATTATTTTAAAAAAAATTGTTAGGCTTAACATCGATGAAAATTCAACGCGAAGTAGGTTAATAGCGATATACTAATTACATGGGATATAATAATATACTACACTAATAATGGATTTTTTCATACTTTTCGGTTATCCGACTTTTCAATTATCCGACCAACCTCAGTCCCCAATTGAGTCGGATAATCGATGCTCTACTGTATTTAGATCGTTCATAAAACATTTTTTAATTTGCCGGGTATTAAATCGAAAGTAAAGAATGAACAATTAGATAAAAAACGATTAAAAATTTATTTTGTTTATTTATTTGTGTATTGTCGATCTATTATTTTCTCTCCGATATGTCCCGTGCCCACTCGTTGTCGCACAGTTCATTGTGTCCCATTTGAATGATAAATTTAACCTAGCTAAAAGCAGCATCGAAAATATTTATGAACAAATTTACAAAGTTTATGATGATCCTCATAGCTGTAATGTGCTAATTTCATAAATACATATATTTGAGGTCACAATAAATACGCGTGAGTCAGTTCTTATGTCATCTATACAGTATTCACGAGTAACTGAATTAAGTGCTTCTACAGGAATGTGTGACAATAAAGTCACGTGACATCCAGTGGCGTGCCGTGACATTTGATGATAGGGAAGCTGTGTTTCTGTAAGAAGTCGACATCCAGGGCAAATCAGTCAATTGCGCGTCAGTGATGGTCTAGGGTCCATTCGTATCGTTTATTCCATAACCCAGTAAAAACCGTAGACTTCACTAAATGCATTTTTAATATCACAATTATATTCCGAATCGCTAACCACGATATAAAGGCTACAATTAAAAATAAAATAATAAAATTTTCCGATAGTTTAGCTGTTTGTAATGTTGATTCAGTAAATGTCTTTTCAATCCGAAAAATTCTTTTTGGTAGAATACCGCACAGCCAATTCAGGTTATAATCCCTTTTATTGCTTTTTACAGATGCATTTCGAGCTAGGTTAATTTTCTAGCTCCTCCTCAGTTTTAAAAGATTTTTTGGAAAGAGTTTATGAAAATTTTAAAAGATAATATGCTTTTAATGGAAAAAAAACCTTGTAACAAGCAGTACATTTTTATGATGTAACAAGATACATGTTCTTAAAGTAATTTAATTAGAAAGAAATCAGTAACAAGCAGACCTTTTGTACGATACAAGATAAAAAACCCTTTGAATAATTGCATACGCTGGTAAAAATTATAAACGGGACTAAAAGTACCGTATAAGTGTGGAAAAAATTAGAAACTCATGGAAACTCTTAAAAGCACTGAGGAGGAGCTAGAAAATTAACCTAGCTCGAAATGCATCTGTAAAAAGCAATAAAAGGGATTATAACCTGAATTGGCTGTGAGGTAGTCTACCGAAAATAATTTTTTGGATTGAAGAGACATTTACTGAATCAAAATAATAAAAACTTACTCGGTGAAATAAAATGTGTGGTGGATTGACATGTCTGGTACAAAATATTCAATTGTATGAATATACTTTTAAAAAAAATTATAATTAAATATAGATTTGTAAAGAAACGCACATAAAAATATAAAATATTCTTTACTTTTTAAATCTTAAACAATGTACTTAGTCAAATAGCTCCCTACGAGTGGCTAATGGATGGAATCGAAGACGGTTGCAGAGCGTGCATACACGCGGACTGCTAAATCCCCAGGGTGCCGATACCTGTCAATGTCAAATACCTCTTTTGTTGGTTCACTAGTATATCTCAAAGGACGCGACAGGGTTGTTGTAAATTTTAAACGTTTCTCACCATAGCTGTAAAAATATGTTAAACTTAATAGTCATTTGTTCTCTAACTAATTCGTTTTAAGACCAGGTGTTGTTTACGGAAATTTCCAAAATTTACAACTTTTCGGTCACTCTCGTTGAACTGGAAAAATTTCTGTCTTTATTACATCTAATATTTCGAAGAAATCAGTTCCCACTGTACTCGGCTATAGATTGGTTCGGTTAAGCTGTTGTTTAAGTAAAATTTCGGCTCTTTCATCAGGGTTTTGTTCATGTCCCCAATTCCCTAATCGCTTAATTATTTAACTACTTCTTAAGTAGAAATAAGTCGAAACCGGTAACTTTGTACTTGAATATTTGTAGTCTCGGGAAAAAAGTGGATAGACAAATTTTTATGACAACGGATATATAAATCGTAAATTTAAGAAAAATAAATTCTAGAGCTTTTTCTGTACCTGGTGCATCTCTCACATTCATTAAATTTAGTTGTAAATGATGCTACCAAACAGTTAATTTTTTAACATTGTACAATTCTTGTACATGTTTTTTTCTACATCCCCTTAAAGATGGGACATACGAAATCGTAATATCACTGGTTTAATTTAACATTGAAATCCATGAGTAATATAAAATCGGAGAGCGGAATAAATGCAGAATAAATCAAATATTTTAACGGATTTTTTAAAACTCCTGTCAACTATACAGAACTATCATAAAAACGTCATACCAGTAAATTCTTATCGGTTGGGTTAAGTTATAAATCTACTCGTGATTCACGTAATCGGGCGAGGGCGGCCAAATTAAGGCGCTAGATTACCCAGGTATGCTCATACGCTTCCGTCACGTGTGCAGCCATATTGGTCCTTTTGACGTCATATTCCAAGATTTTTAAATTTAGCTGTATTTTATAACTAGTTGCACTAAATTTTGGCAAAGTTTATCATTTCGACCTTGCAAAATCTTAAGATACAGTTGAATTTATGATTATTTTCGTGTCTCTTCTATTGAACTTCTACGAGAGTCGTCTGCTTTCTAAGGACCAACATGGCGGATGAGCATACCTGGGATATCTAGCGCCTTAGGCCAAATACCTAACGGGCGGACGGCTAACAGCCCAGAACCGGTCCTGGATAGAATTGGATGCGGTATACATGTAGCATCCACCCAAGAGCACCAACCTGACACCGGCTAAACCGGGTCAGGTTGGTGCTCTGTAAAGCGCATGCGCGAATCTGGCTTTTTGGATGCTGACAATACAGCGTTTCCACTCCGCCACTAATTAATATTCGAATATACAATAGCAATCTTATTTTTTTTTCATGTGTAGTATAGAAATTGGTAATAAGTTACATAATGCGGTTATAATAAAATATTGTGCGATTATTTTCATATAATTAAAATTAATATGTATATATTTTTTAGAAAATACAACGAAAGAGGCGCATCCACCGCTTCCAATGACGGCACGCCACTGGTGACATCTGTAGCCAATTACGGTGATAATTCATTCTTACTTCTAAAAACACGTAAAACCAGATGCACCCACATGTCGTAGACCTATTGTCCACAATATTTTTATTATTGTTTCCGTCAATTAGATTTGAAGTCTCACTTTTTACACTTCAGATACTTTGTTTGGACACTAATTATAGTTTGGTTAACGATTTTATCCTTAAATCTAGACCTAAACGATGACGTCATATTCGGTCAGCAATCAGAGACGTTCGTTTACGGAACGTTCCGATATATCATGGAGTAAAATAGTTATAAAAATTTGAGGCCTTGTTATTCGGGTTAACAATTTGTAAATGATTCGATTCCGTGGTATTTTGTCTTTAGAAACCATGAAAGTTAATTAAGCCATAAAGGGAAAATATCTGTATAGGGACTACTTGCAGTTCCAAGATTACAATAATTTTACACGCACATTTTCGTGAATTTTCCCAAAAGACAATAACATGTGTGCAACGAGACGGAAGCAACAGAACATTTTTTTTTTTTTTTTACGAATGCCAAAGAACAAAAGAAGTGTGGGAATACAAACACGCTTCTTCAGAAATGCGAGAAATGTAAAAATCAAAAATTTACTCTGAGAACAGCAACTTTCGAAGAAAAAGAAAACTGGTGTGAACGATGTGAAATACTACTTGCTGAAACAAGATTTATACTGTGTACTGCGAAAAACGAAACACGATTAGAAAACAAAAACTGGCCCAGTTAAACATCGAATACAAACTAAAATACAATATAAATTTTCCGTCTACTAGTACGTATTTTCTATTATCAGGACTTATTAGACTGGCTTTATAGAAATTTTATTTAATATACCTGTATATTAGATATAACAGGTATATTAATTTCTGATCTGTGAAACTTTGTTGCAGTATCTGTAAAGCCGGTCTAATACGTCCTGATAATAGAAAATACGTACTAGTAGACGGAAAATTCATATTATAATAAACTAAGGACATTGAGGCATATTAATTAAACTAAAATACAGGCTAATAACAGTAGCAAAAATGTAATAAACGGAGCTACATAAGGTGCAATTTAAGAAAACGTGGAAAAAATTTGATCCACTGTAACGTATTTGTTGAAAACATACAAACAGGCAAAAATAAGAATGTAAACGAAGAAAACCTATGTGAGCGTAACATCAATTACGCAACAAATAGAACAGTGTAAATATTTTTATAAATAAACTATGTTTGTTATAAAAAACAAGGAGAGTCGGGACCGCTCAGTACTTGGGACAGAGATGACCTGAAAATACCGAGTACTACCTATCTCTTTTTCTTTTTCGTCTAATAAAATTTATCATTTTTGCGCAGTAATTTTTTTAATACATTATGTCAAGCAAACATTTCTTTTCTATTACTTCTATCTTCCTGAACATTGCTTTAAAAATTCTCAGTAAACATACCTTGTATTAATTAAAAATACACACTGGGCGTTTAAATGCGTTTATTACATGTAAAACAATATACTTCAGCTATCATCAAAATCAAGTACAGTAATAGCATATTGTCAGGGCTGTGGAGTCGGAGTCGAAGTCGCGGAATTTTGGTGTTTTAGTCGGAGTCAATCGTCAAAAATCCCCCCCGACTCCGACTTCTTTTTACTTCCTAACTTGTTATATATATAAAAAACGAAAAAGTATTTGAATCGTGTCACATTTGACCCTCCGAGTTTTTTGCAAATCTATACGTTTGGATATCTCTCGAACCCAAAAAAGTCAAATAAAGGGAAAAATATGCGCGCGCGCGTGTATTGGCATCTAATTTGTTTAATTATTCTGTTCTAAAACATTAAACAATAATTCAGAACGAGTAAAGTTTAAGAAAGAAAATTTGGCACAGTAGCATGTGTATAAAGGGCATACGAGGTCTGTTCAAAAAGTATCGGACTTTTATTTTTTCCGCGTAAACCAATGATGCGCGGGAGGCCTCTTTCGGTGGAGTTGTGGAGGGGACAGTCATGCACAGCCCTGAATTTTTTACTGCCTACAGGAAGCGTTGGTCGTTGGCAGTCGTTCTATAAGTGAGGGCATGCAGCGAGCTCTCGTCGGATTCCATTAAGTTGGAAAATGACTGAACAACGTGAGCAGCGATATTACATCAAATTTTGCCAAAAACCTTGGAGATACCCGAGTGTAAACCATTCGCAAGATTCAGCAGGCTTTCGGGGACGATCCACGAGGCCAAAAAAGCGCGGCAGGTACGCAGCAATATCAAGGTCATATTGACAGTTTTTTCGACTCTCGTGGGGTGGTGTATCACGAGGCCAAACCATCGCAAAGGAGTATTACCAGAAGGTCCTTCGTCGTCTTTCCGATGCTGTGCGACGCAAACGACCGGATCTGTGGTCGATCAAAACTTGGCAGCTCCATGATAACTTGGCAGCTCAATGAAAATTTTTATAACGACTGTTAAATCCAACTTAAAATTACGTTAAGAATAATCAAACCTATCTACAGTTTAGGTGTAGTTTTGTGTTATGTGAAAAGCATCGAGAATATGTTAGCAGTATCACATTCTATAAACTGGTTCAGAGATTGTTCTAACAGTATATTCGTGCCACGTGATATACTGAACACGTCAGACTAAGCACTAAGATGAAAGTAAACACTCGAGAGGACCAAAGCTTAAATCTAAAAATCTGAAAATCCCAGAATGTGACTTTTTTGGGGTGGTCATTCCCTGATTTTTGAATCTCGTTGCTTGTTAATCATCACCTTATTTCTGACTTGGCCAAACTAATATAAAGCTTCAAGGATAACATTTTTTGTACCAAAGAGTAAAAACGTCATATATATATATATATATATTATTTGCAGTGTATATAACATAATTAGATAAATTAATGTTAATTATTAAATTAATTAAATAACATTAATAATATACGAGAAATAATTAAAATCGTATTATGTTAATACAAAAGTCTAGATATTATTTGAATTATAACAAGAGTTTGCTTTTCTTAGGTAATTTCTATTTAACATCGAATTTACATTCGATAGAACAAACATTTATAAACAGTTTATGCGAAATTTATGGAATAAGTGCAAATAATAAATCTAGGTAAATATTGAATATTTTGTACAGAAGCTATCTAATATGGAATACAAATACTGAAATATCTCATTGGTAATAAGTTTAACATAATCAAATACAAAGAGAATTAAAAATTAATTACATGTATTTTTAAACTTTCAGTAGTAAAGAAACGGACCACCAATTGCCAAAATAAAGCGGAAATTATTTACATAGCAGTTTTATAACTGAAAAGTAAAAACTTAATTTATATTTTTGTTTTGTAAAATCTCATTGTTTCAATCTTGTAAACAACATAAAAAAATTCAGCAACCAGTTGCTTAACTTTTCCAGCAACATTTAAAACTGTGTGTGGCGCCAGATGATAAATTATTTTATTTTAAAATTTTCTATATTTTTAATTGTTATAACACGGTAAAAGCTTAATTTTGAGGGTGGGTTCAAGTCAATTACTAAACAGGTACGTAGTTGCTTCTACAACAATGTTGATACAATACAGAAATGAGCAATTCAATCAAGCTCGCTTTTTAATTATGCACCACCAACTAAATTGCATTTTGTTAGCAAGTGAATAATTGGGCTGAAATTTGAAAAATATTGTAGACTATAAATTCTCACTGTCGTCCCGTCTGTCTGTCTTTTCTAAATCTAGAAAACTGATTTAGCGCAATGAAAGACGAGAACATATGTAGAAAACTTAGGAGCAGGTGGCTGTGATGTACTGTTCAGAAACTTTTGAAGCAAACCTCAAAACACATTATTTCTGTGAGCCGGATGGTTTAAGGGCCTGAATTTTTAGAAATTTGTAATTGTTGGAACATTTTTTCGGAAGTTAAAGTAAACATCCGTGGTTAGAAAAAAAAGCTCATTGCATAGCAGATGTCAACAATCAAGTGGGAAAGTTAACACGTTGTTGCGAAACGAAAGCAGTACGTTACGAACGACTACTCAAAAATTGCAAGGCATCATAAACAACGGACAATCACGTGACCCATTTCTCACGATAATGATATAAAAGCTGGAGTCATTGGAAACTCAGCGCGATGGGAAGTTATTCTTGAGTTAGTGTCCATTTTTGTCTCCCGTCTCCCGATCCTGTCCGAGAAGACAAGGGAGGAAGACACTTAGGACTTCCACATCTTCCATAAAAGAACGATTGTCACATAAGGCTCCGCAATAAAACTGAGAGGAATTTTGTTAGGACGATTGTAAACTCTCTCTGCGATAAGGAAATTAGGCACGCGACATAGAAGTTAGAGTAGTCGCCGATCGTTTTCTAAATACAGTAACTTTCATTTTAACTGCATTTAACCTCATTTAATCATATTTTTAATTTATTTAATTTAAAATATATGCTCACCACCGGAAATTAGTAGAGGCTTGTTCCTGTACATCATCCTTTACCTTTAACATTAGAGTCGTGCCGATCATCTATTTAACACCTTACAAAAGGATAATATTTGAATAGAAATGTGAGAATACGGGCGAGGGTACAGAGCCCTCTAATCGCCTAGTTGGTAAAACTCTCTCACTTCGTCACTGGATGGCTTTAGGAGGGCAAAGAGTCGAGTGAGGAAGTACGATTAATAAGCCGATAGGTGTCCAGATTCGGAAAAATAGACAGTTTTGAAAGGTTTTAACAAATAAACAAAGCATTTATTGAATATCAAAGGCTAAACATACATGAGGATTATACAGATTAATATTGCAACCCAGCATTGCGACAATGTCACAATAAAAACTTGCTTTAATTAAATATAAGTTCAGCATTTAGAGTTATTCTGTTTAATTAAAGAAAATTGTTAATTTGCTTTTATTTAGCGATTTGTTAAAACAGTTCAAGTAAATATAATATATATTCGATTTAATGCTCTGAATACGTAACGTTTGCACAGTAAAACTCAGAAAGCAAAATACATTTTTACATAAATTGAATTCCAATCTGCGTTATGAAATGAAAATATAGGAAATCAAGTCAGTAAACAACATGCAAGCAATTTTACTCCACGTGGCAAACGAAAATGGAATATTCCTTCAATCCAAATATTATACAGTATAACTGTAAATACTGTAATCAAATTAGAGTTTCCTATTTCTATGCAACGAAGCTCAGTTCTTTCTTATTACTTGAAACATTCATAATGCAGGAGTCATGTCTATACGACTGTTGTTCTTTGATGAATCAAGTTATATCCAATCCTATAGATTCTACAATTTGTCGGTATAATCAATCCTTTACTAAATTCGAGAAAAATAACTTTCTTTGATAGAGCTTATCATAGTTTTATAAAAACGGTATTTCTTTATAGTAACATAAATATATTGTTATTTTTGCTACTTGAAAGAGAAGATAGGATCTACTTTACAGGAAATATCGTTGAATTGTTCGGAGAAGATTTTGAAATATGTTGCTTTATTATTCTTGCTTTTACAATATTTATTTATTTAGCTTACGAGTTGTTTCACCGTCAAGAGTTCGCTGTTGGTTTGCATGAAATTCACCTAAAATTATCGAGAGTAATACAAACCAACAATTCAAAACTATTCAATCTTCAGCATAAAATTAGAAAATTTGCATGCATCTCTTTGGTATTTTTCTACGTCATCTTTTGCTGTACACTGGAATTAGCATTCTCTTTGATTATAACTAGAAAAAATGCTCATATCGTAATATTTCATTTAAGTATAACACTGCTAGAAATAATATTTGGAATGGGATATTTGTTTATTCTAGTTTTGATTGTTATTGATGTTTATATTCTTGTAGAAAACGAGTTGACAAGTTTATATATGAACGTAGAGGGTAGATTAGTTGATAAAAAAGCAGTTGATATTCATAGAATTATTATCAGACACGTTAATTTATGTGATATTTTGCAAGATTTAAATAAAATCGATAAAGATATTTTCGATTTATATTACTTGTTTCAATTGATTATGAGTGCACTTTGTATATATGTGGGCATTTTTGGTAAAGGAAATGCAATCGTGAAGTGTCTCTTTTTATTTATTGGAATATTCTCTTTATTAATTTTTTCAATTTTAGTTACATTCGCCAAAATATTCTCGAAATCAGTAAGCTATTAGTTTAATTTTTATTATAATTAAATTTTTATGACATATTATATCAGATAAAATAATATTGTAAAATATTGCAGATATATAGAATTCGTCCATCATTAGAACGAATTTTCTTTGAAGAAAAGAACTTAAATGACCTGCTAAAGGTAATTTCAATATAATTAAAAATATCTAAATTTCAAGAACTATTATAAAACTTCTTTACAATTAATATTTCTTAACTTTTTAATTTTATTTTTTAAAGTAATTAATCGTTTGCTTGAAGATCTTCACTTGCACAAATTTATGTAACAGAGAAGAATTATCTTATCGAAAAACTTGCTTTAATTAAATATAAGTTCAGCATTTAGAGTTGTTCTGTTTAATTAAAGAAAATTGTTAATTTGCTTTTATTTAGCGATTTGTTAAAACAGTTTAAGTAAATATTATATGTATAGTTAAAATTAAATACAAAATTTACTTACATGTCACGTTCGTACTTGTATAGACCGTATTTTTACATCGAATAAATACGTCATGCATGCAATTGATTATATAAAATTTGTGGTATTTCAGGTAATTTCTTATAGGAAAAGATTAGGAAAAATTACACTTGGAATCACAATTGCTGAAATATTCGTCATCTCGCCTAAAAGCATTCCTAGGGTAGGTAAATTATGTGTTAACTATCAAATTTACTTGGTGTTTCTTGAGCTAAAAATTTTTGATTTTAGCATCATTCTCTATCCAAATTCAGATAAGATTTTCGCTATATCGTTATTTTTTTCATCAAATTCTAGGTAAAGATTTTTTGAACTAATTTAGTTTTATTCCAGACAATACTATTGTTACGAAAAGCTGCGAAATTTGTATACTACAACAACATTTTGAAATGATACATAGCTTAGTATCTATTTTAGCACTGAAGTAATACTCATACATACTTTGTTTCTCGGTTTAAGAATAAAAATTTGTATAAATAACAAACCGACAAGAAATGAATTGTATATACATAGCTTATTGAGAACTTTTAAGAAACGAGCGTAAAGTAACACATTAGTACAAGTAAATCATTTCAACATTGAATTATCCAAATTGATCAATTCTGTTTTAAAACTACTTCGATCGGTAAAAAAAAATGACTTTTCCAAAATGTTAACATTTTTGGAGTCAAGACACTTTAAAACGTCAAAAACTGCAAAAAACTTTGGGGTTAATTTCCGTATTTATAGATGTTAATGTGTGTGTATTTGTAGCACTATTTTGTGTGCTCTATTTTAAGCTTAATATCTTCGTGCATTTTGTTGAAAATATCTAAAATTTTGTAGAAAAATTTGCTTGTTCACGGAATTGATACTGTTAAAATTTGATGATTAAAGCTGGGTGGGGAGATAAACAGAATCGTGTGTGTACCTCTAGTAGAATTGGACTTAATTACGATATTATTCGTCATTAGAATTTACACTTTTTATTATAAAATCTATCTTTATCCACAAATTAAGCTATTTGCCATTTCATAATAGTTAAAAATACAAGATTTTTAATAAAATATTATAACAGATGGAACTACAATATGTTGCCGGAAAAGTTAAGTAACTCGTTNAAGTTAACACGTTGTTGCGAAACGAAAGCAGTACGTTACGAACGACTACTCAAAAATTGCAAGGCATCATAAACAACGGACAATCACGTGACCCATTTCTCACGATAATGATATAAAAGCTGGAGTCATTGGAAACTCAGCGCGATGGGAAGTTATTCTTGAGTTAGTGTCCATTTTTGTCTCCCGTCTCCCGATCCTGTCCGAGAAGACAAGGGAGGAAGACACTTAGGACTTCCACATCTTCCATAAAAGAACGATTGTCACATAAGGCTCCGCAATAAAACTGAGAGGAATTTTGTTAGGACGATTGTAAACTCTCTCTGCGATAAGGAAATTAGGCACGCGACAT